AATTCCATCTGTGGGTTCCAGCATGAATCCTCTCTTAATTTACCTGTTCTAGTCCTTCAACTGTTGACGTTTCCTTGTGGTCGTCAACTCCAACATACAGTGGTGATCGTTTAAGGGACAGTTTTGCTAAATCTTCGATCTTTTTGGTTTGTGTTGCAGAGAAAAGAACTGTTTGTCTTTTACCTGAAACGTTAGAAAAAAATTAAAATCAAAAATTTCCTCAAAGAGGTTCTTAGCTCTTTAAGAAGTATTTCTCATCAATTCAGATGATCTTGAAGAAAAAGCCCAAAAATAAAACTTAGGGAGACCTTATAGAGAGAGTAATACAGATAATAGACAGTTCCAGCTTGTAGCATCAAATGAGGGACAAGATCAAAACAACAGTCAAAAACAGAACGCAATTTTAGTGACTAAGATGGTGGGTACATACATGTACTGGTACCGATAAATACCTGACTCCCTGACCCAATAATAGACCTGTCCTAATACAATACAATTGTATTTATAAATAAGTTATGTCTAATTAGAGTAAAGACTCAGCTTACTTGGTAAGATTTTGATAATTTGTTTCATTTCTTCTTCAAATCCTATTTCCAAGATCCTGTCTGCTTCATCTATGACTAAACACTGCAGGTTACTAAAGATGAACCCCTGAGTGTTCTGGAAGAAAACAAAAAATGTACTGTAATCACCTGGTCATAAGTAAAGCCCTAAGGTGAGCTTATAATTGAGGGCCTTGAACCAGTAACTGGGGGACGGGGAAGGGTGCACATCTCCTGCACCCTTCTCTTAGATTTGTCCAACCCTGTAGTTAGCATGTTATGTACCATTAGGCTTTTCATGAGTTCTATAAACAGGATGCATTATGGTCTAGCTTGGGTTTAATCATCATAATATAAAACATGATGAACAGAAGATGTTTGTATCCAAGCTAAACCACAATGTATTTGCTATCTTAGTAAAAGCTAAACAAGGTGCATTCTGGTCTAGCTTGGGTTTAATCATCATAATATAAGCAAGATGAACTAAATGTTTTTACCCAAGCTAAACCACAATGCACCAAGTTTGGTATGTCAAAAAAGGTCTAAAGGAACTAACCTGTAAATGATCCAGTAACCTTCCAGGAGTTGCGATCAACAGATTGACACCCTTCTGTAGACGTTCTGCTTCAGTTTTCCTGTTGACTCCACCCATTATTATGCCATATGTGAAGTTATGATCTTTTAGCAAATCCCTGGCTACTCCATAGGTTTGAAGAGATAACTCGCGCGTTGGAGATATGATTATTACGCCAGTGCCTAATGATGTGTTGAATCGAAATTAAATATCAAAAAGACATCTTTTGTCGTAGTGCAATATTTTCCCATAAAAAAACCACAGGTCACTTCCCTTGAGTATCATTTCTTTGTTTAACAGTTGCAAATGAGAAGACACAATCATGAATATGGGTACAACTCAAACAAAGAACCTTATTCTGAAGAGAATGACACTTGGTCTGAAAGGAAAACATTGCACCATTATGAATTACATCTATTCCAAAAAGGTAATAAGTAAGTTATATTTTCTAAAAATCCTATGACTTTTCTTTTCTGCTTCACAGAATATTATCAAACAGCCATTGGCAGCAGTTTTGGCACGAAACAGAAATCAAACCCTTGCAAGGGAAACAAGTGGCCTACTCGCAACTTCATTGGTTGCAAGATGTTTGCACTGTCTTTGCGCTGGACAAATTCTCCTTCCATGAATAGGGAGAAGAAAAAGGTTGACTACTTAAACCAAGTCCATGTAAAAAAAGTTTAAGCTTGAGCGAGGTACACAGTTGTGTATTAAATTTTATGATTATTCTAGCACTGGCAATGTTGACAGCATTTTTGTTGTTGGTGGTAGTGCTTGTGGTGTATTTATCTTATTTCAATGGTTCTTGTAGGTAGTTGTGTAAATATGTTCTTGCCGTTTGTGGTTGTTAATCTAATGGATCACATTTTGTTAGGTTTTGGTCATATGTTTTTATTTTCTAGCATGTCTTACCATTTCGTGATTTGAATCCCAGCTTGTACAACAGCTCAACTACAGGTATGAGAAATGCAAGTGTTTTACCACTACCGGTCTTAGCAGCACCAAGAAGATCTCTGAAAATGAGCACAACAAAATGTCATCTTTAACATGGCAGTCTCGTTGATGTACAACCTTTAATGATTATTATTTTAATGTTTTGAAATAAAGGCTACTCTATCATATYAATYAATAAGACTCAAAAAAGARTCTTATTCTCAAGAGAATGATATTTATGGTCTGCATCTGGAAAATGCTACGCCAAGCCAAAAGGAACTATAAATCCCTTACATCATGTCGGAATGCARCTCAATTTAGAGGACATAACAATAGGTTTCCAATTCTCAGAAGATTCTTTTGTTTTGTCCCCCAGATYGAGCTGCTTTRACATCACATACAAGGGGTCTATYATTTAGTGAGTGGCAAGAAACTAGTGAATTAAGTTTAATATATTTAACAAATAAAACAGCTTTTTCTGTGMTCTTTTCAGTATGATAAAGCACACAGGAAGTGACGTATGCATGAAGGAAGTGTAAGGAAGTGCTTCCTAAGTGCTTTATTACWGAACGAAGCAYGGAAAAAGCTGCTTTATACATTTTATCATATAGAACTTACTAATTTTATTAAGATATTAAATTTATTTACAAYAAACATAAAATAAAGATGATCGCAGGATCTAGCAGCACTTTGCCTGCRTAGATGGTGTCAGCACTGTGCTTTGTTCACTAATAAAGCTATATAATTTATTATTATACTATCCTAACTATATAATAAAGTTCAAAACATAATTCCAACATTCTATCTTACCTTCCTTTTAACAGAGGAGCAATACTCTTATGTTGTATTTCTGTCATGTGCGTGAAGCCCATCTCTTTCACTCCATTCAGCGTCTTCTCACTTACCATCCCTTCCAGTGATTTAAACTCAGTACTGTCTGGTAGAACTGTGTCTAGGAATAAAAAGTACAAATGTTTTTGCTACGCAATCATGACTTACTCACAGATTAAACCCTGAAAAATCCTCTGGGCTGATCTAAGTCAGGGCATGGCTAACTCACATATAGAACCCTGAAACAACCTCTGGGCTTATCTAAGTCAGGGCATGGCTAACTCACAGATCAAACYCTGAAACAACCTCTGGGCTGATCTAAGTCRGGGCATGGCTARCTCACARATMRAACCCTGAAACAMCCTCTGGGCTGATCTAAGTCAGSGCAYGKCTAACTCACAGATYAARCCCTGAAGCATCCTCTGGGMTGATCTAAGTCAGRGCATGGCTAMCTYACAGATCAAGGGAGWTCGAGGCCCAAGCAGGTGCRGATCCAGGAATTTCAGAAGGGGGGTGACTATTACATTGCATTTGATGGTGCGAGTCTAGGAATCAAAACCTAGAGATCCCAGAAATTTGTTATAAGAGGTGAGTGCAATGTATTAATACACCATCCTTGACTTCCACAGAACTTTAGAAGTGAGAGGCCAGTACTTAAACTATATTACACCAAGACTATGTGTGTTCAAATAGCTTTTGGCACAATTTGTAATTTATGATTTATATTTATAATGCCACTCACCAGCTGGAAGAGGAGTTTCAACATGTTCTTCACCATCAGGCTTAGCTTCTTCCTTACTTTCTTCGATTTGTTTTACTACAGGGGAAAAAAAGCACAGAAAAGCCCCAAATTAGAGCGATTTAAATCCAAAAAATCCAAGAATACTGACAAATAAAGCACGTGTAGCCAACCAACTTCTTCAAATTGTTTATTATATATTATTTTGTTTTTCGCGCAAGACTTCAACTATTTGGAAAAGAAAACTTTATCTATAATTAGAATACTATCATACAAAGAAGCCAACATGGAGAAGTAGTGCAGTAATGACGAAAGAATAGTTCGTAAACACGCATAAAAACACTTAAAGAAATTTAACTTTTACCTTTAATATTTCTTACTCATAGCTTCGATTAAAACGATAAATACTTTGAAAATACTCACCCGATTTTTGCTTCTCTTGGGCCATTTTTTCCTTTCTTTTCTTAAGTTTCTTTAACTTTCGTATATGACTCTCCATTTTGAAGATAAAGTATATTTTTTTAGAGGAAAAAAAAAAGTTAAAAACTCACAAAACCAACACGTGAACCTACGAGCTGCTCGTTGGGGTTATCCGCTGACCGCATCATACAACTTTTCAACACAGGAAGCCCAGAGTAATTTTTCACTTTCTATTTCTGAAAATTCTGAAAAGTCATAGTTTAGTGTTGTAGAGTGCATTCAGTCAAACTGTTGAATAGTTGACGTCACCTAAATTAGATAAGTAAGTTACTATTAGCTGACCTCACATAAATTTGAAACTACGAGTAAAACGCTACTGAGATCAGGGGGAGAATAGATGATACAAATGAATGTCTATTCACTCATCTGGTAAAACAAACCCCCCCGGATTAGCATGACCTTTATTTGGCGCGCTTTTACTATTTTAGGTGACGTCAACTAAATAGTTATCTAAAGTTAGATAAATTTATCTGACTATTTATAAAATTGACTGAATGCACTCTAGTGTTATGACCAAAACTTACTGCGGTTTTGTTGCTAGACAAAAAGAAAAATTCTCATGTATTATTGCACAACCTTGATTCGGCATTATCCGCAAGTAGAATCGAGTTCACACAGTTTGTACCAACAATTTCTACACTTTCTGGTTTCTATTTCGTATACGACAGTGAAAAGCTCACGGTACCATCACGCCGTGACAGTGAAAGTGCTAATCAAGCATTCTCATTGTTGGACAAGTAGTGAACTACTGCGCTGATTGGTTCAAACAAGGGCACTAGGACACCGAACGTGGTTGGACTTCTAAAGTTTTTTTCTCCTTTCGATTATTTGAATTAAATTAAACGTATATACTTGTTTACTTATCTTGTGTCCTTGCTCCTTCGCTGTTATAAATGCAGACGTTTTCTTCCAAAGGTCAAATGGTTTGAATAGCCGATGAGCGTTACTTCTTTACTAGTAACGGCCGTTCCGTACTCGACTCTGTTTGTACCAACAACAAGTTTGGAAGTTTCTTTGAGTAAAAGTTTTCGCACGAGTGTGGATTTTAGTGTGTGTGGTAATAGTGTGTTGTCGGGGGCAAGAGGACTAATTGTTTTAGTTAAATCCAACTCTAGTAGGTCAAATATATAAATGCAAACAAGTTTTGATAAATTAAAGTTCAATTCGATGTTTTGTTTTTCAAAGCCAGCACTTTTCGCTACCAGTAGGCTATAGCTTATAGTAGTGGCTCATCCAATCAGAACGCAGCATTGATGATAGACCACTTGTTGGATTTGACTAAAGGTTGTTATTGATGGTTTGCAAGAAAAGGAAATGGCGGCCAGATTGATAGTATTAACAAAGGAAGCTAATGGGGAATCTTTTGTTGGTAAATACCACCAACATGGCCGCGGCGACGTAACGTGCAAATGAAGAATACATTTTCAAAGGCATTTGCTGATTTTCTAAATTTGCATTGATTTTATTGGTATGTTGGTTATTTTTCTTCTTTGTTGTTAGATTTCTTAATATTCAACGCCATATTTTTGATTTCTTGGAGTTTTTCTTCTAAAAGGGCACCAGCGCTTTTCTCGCAAGCCTCTTCTTCACCCGGCTCACTCTCGTCCGTAACTGGACCACCTGTCAGACGCTTCACTACAAGGGACTGGTACCGAGTCAACGTCTCTTGCTGTTCGGGGGTCAAATGAGAAGCGAGGAACGAAATGATTTGTGGGACACATCGGCCAGGGGCGTGGATAGGAACAGAAGTGAAGTGCTGGAATAGTAAGACCGTTACAAGATGAAGAGCCATTGCGGGCTCGTCTTCTTGACGAAGCTGTTCTTGAAGAGCGGCTCTGTGTTCGATGGCAAGTTGTCTAGAAAATAGAATAACGTGATGTTGATTATGATACTAGAAAATTTTGAACGTTTGGTGTGGCTTTATTTTTGATGGGTTAAATCGAGGAAGGAAGGAAGGAAGGAAGGAAGGAAGGAAGGAAGCAGGGACGGATCCAGGGAGGGGCAATGGGGGTTTGTAGCCCCCCTTCAGTCCCCCCCCCCCCTATATATTTTTGACTGCCTCCGCTCCTGGGAAGGAAGGAACTCCATAAGAAAAAAAGAATGGAAAACTAAAAAGAGTACACTTCACATACTTTTCTTTCTTTTTGTCCAGTTTCTTGATCATAAATTCACACAAATCCGGACCTGAAACCACCTCAAACTGATTGAAGAAATCTGAAGTCTCCTAAAAAAAGAAATAATGATATCGCTTGTTTTCATTCAGTTGCTACTGCTGTTGTTGTTGTTG